TTAATGAGGCAAACAAAACACCGCTGTGGTACACCCACATGTTTCTTTTCGTTTGAGAATAAAATGAGGTATAACGACTGAACCAAGTGGTATCGCAGCATGTGCATCGTAACCACTTTGGCTGTATATGAAAAATGCTGCAAGTCACTTTCTTATTAGCTGTGCAAAGTGCGTTGCTGTAGGCAGTCTCTGCTGATTCTCCGGGTGATTTATCCGCCAAACACAGCTAGAAATATGCCATCAGATAAACATTCAGCATCAGATCAGCAGCTGTCAGATTTCAAGAAGGCAGCGACGGTTATCAAGACGCTAGATTATATCTAATAGAACCATCAAAATGGACACCGAGACTCAGTGGGTGACCAATAAACAGACATAGGCACCTTTACAAAGTAAACGAAACAGCACGCCAAGCAAAAACAAATTACAGAGAGCCCTAAAACATAAGTTTGGACGGTCTCAGCTGCAGATTTCCATATCAACGCAAACCAGACTATACAAGAGCGTGGCCTTAAACATACCACAGGTACTGGTAATTTGACAATGTCCAGACCCACAACATCTGCACAATCAGAGTATACCAACCCAGTTAAATCGGAAGACAGAAAATAAGTGGTTCGAAGATATGTTTGAAGGGCCATCGATATATCGGGAAGTGTTCAGTGTGAGCTGCTTAATGGTTGTAAGAAATGCATAGCACTGTGCGGCCACTCATGATCTGACGCAGATGCGTGACCGAATGACTTCAGTTAGGTGAGTCCATTAAAGCATCAAATGTCGAAGAATTACAGAACCATTGATTTACGGGATTTATTTCCTAATACAGATCACTCACCCACTAGTGTGGTAGTGATGACTCTAAGACGCGGCCATCCAGCAGCTTAAACTCGATGAGTTTTTCGTTGGTAAATACTCTTCTAATAGCTTGTAATTTACAGCAGGGTCTGGTTGTCTTTAATTATTATAAGGAGTCATGTGGTACAGCATAGTAATGGAGGAACCTGTAAAATCAAAATTTCGATTCATCGTAAACTTTGCCAATATTTCCCGACTTTTCCAGCCGTCCCGGCAAAGAAAAAGAAAATATATGTAAGTGTAAGTCGAATTACACTCATTCGTGCGTACAGACAAAGCGGGTGAAAAAGGAAAGTAAAGTAATATACGTGAGTTTCACAAACACACGATAGCGTAAAAACGTTTTTTACAGAATGTTTCTGAAAAAATAAAAATATACACATATAAGCGAACATATCAGCAATATATATATATATATATATATATATATATATATATAAGTGTATCAAAAACAGTTTGTTTTTGACATAAAATGAAGAAAACCAGAGATGAAGCAAAGTGTTATGTAGTGTCTTACGTGTATTAATCTCTTAGGTGTTCTGGAAACCTTAATCTTCTTCCAGAACGCGTTGTTTTGAGTCGGTTGTCAGATACCACCAAAATCACATCGTAATTGTTGGATATCGGATGAGACATTGTAAATGTAGGACTCGTGTCTTTCGATTGTACCGAAGGAAAATCGACATGAATAGGGTTTTCTTTTAAATACTCAACTTTGGGGCAATCGATGCTGATGCTATCGTTCGTTCCGCTCTTATCGATATACAGTACTTAGGTTCACGCCGAACAACTTTGAAGTGTCCTATGTACACTGATTCGAGAGATCGACAAATTGGGTCTTGACGTACAAAAACATGTGTACCGTATCGTGGGGCAGGTTGAACGAAAATATCAGTTGATAGAGGTTGGCTAGAAACAGGTTTAACTGAACGAACCACGTTTGTAAGCCTGCTCATATTGGGGTTTACATCCGTACTGTTCGAAAAATATGAAAGATCCACGAATTCTCCTCGAAGTCGGAGTGCCGACCCATAAGTGAGTTGGGTTGCGGTGCATCCAATGTCAGCTTTCATTGCATCGCGAATACCAAGTAAGATGAGTGTAAGAGCGTTGGTCCACCGTGGAATGTTTGCAGCTGATAAGGAAGCTTTTAAGTGTCGGTGAAAGCGATCTACCAACCTGTTTGCTTGTGGATGCTATGCGGTCGTTTGCGATCGCTTTATTCTTAACAGTATAGTCAGGCAACGGAAACTGACGTCTTTAGCCATAGTTTAAGGGTTGCCAAAGTTTGCTACCCACCGTTCGACAAAGGCAAGGGCCACTGTTTTAGCATTATTGTCCTTGACAGGTATTGCTTCTGGCCACCGTGTTCTAAATCCTTTACTTCAATATTCATACCAGGCTATCAAAACCGTCCTGATATGACCTTGATGGTTGCACTAACACCTGGATGAGAAAGTTTGTGCAACGTATTGCAGACGTCGCGTTGATAATGCTGCGGCACGATTTTACGACCCCTACCTTCAGATGTGTCGAATAATAAGGTTTTCTTACCTGTCCACATCTGTCTAATACGCAGTTATAGGGTTGTCGAAGATAACTCGTGCTGAAGATCAGTGTCTTGTTTTGAACTCAAGCAAGTTTAAGTAGGTCGATTCCTGTTCAAGAACGTTATACGAGACAAGGCGTCTGAAACTACATTGTTCGCTCCAAAAATGTCTTGTATGTCTGAAGTAAACTGCGAAATATAGTCGCGTTGTCGAGACTCTCGAGGTGAGTACTTGTCTGAAGATGAGCTTAAAGAGAAGGCAAGAGGTTTGTGATTGGTGAGAAGAGTGAATTCTCAGCCTTCCACAGAGTGTTAAAAGTGACGTACCGAAAGTTCTATACCTCACTTCTGTATCTATCAAACGTATCGAGAAGAATGCCGAAGGTTGCCAGATGTGGCTAACCCATTGTTGTAAAACTCCTCCGATCACTGGTTCGAATGCGTTTACTGAGATACTAATGGTGGTTGGGTTTCCTATTGTGCAAGCATGGATGCATATGAGATAAATTCCTTAATTGTGGAAAATGATTTTCTCGCGATATCATCATTTCCATGAAGTTGGTCGGTTAGAGGTTTAATAATGGACGCGAAGTTTGGTAAGAACCGTCTATGGCAACTAACTATTCCACTAAACATAGGTAATTCCTTAATGGAGGTCGGTTATGGGTGGTGTAGAGTGGCAGCAAATTTGATTTTCAGAGGTCGGGTGCTTTGAGCGTCAATAGTGTGTTTGACAAATTTTGGTTTATCTGTATTTTAAGCATTTTCTTTCTTTATGATGTTGATAGCTGAACGTGTACCGCCAACAGCCAAAAATATTCCACTTATAGGTGGGTGGTATTGATTAGTTTTCAGTTTTATTCATGAGTACTAATTTATAAAGTACTTTTTGTACCTGTTTGGATAGCATCAGTACAACTCCTTGTGTATGTGGAGCATTTTCTTCTTTATGGCCAGAGTATAACAGAAGCTCCCTTGAAGCTAATCGTAGTTGTGTATTTCACTGATTCCAAGTAAATCCAGGTTTTATATCTTCATTTCTGCAGCAATTTGGAAAACTCTCCCGATCTCTCACATTGTACGAGCATTCCATGTACCTAAATTAAAGGTTGCTCTGGTTGTCAGAAGGAGCACCAGCCTCGTAACTTCTGAATAAAAACAGTTTTTAACATGAGGCGTTATAACTCTTCTAAAATGAAGACATTCTAACTCCCGGGGCAGAGTTTAGATGGTCTGGATTATTTTTTCTGGCTAGCGTTTTTTCAGTGAGTTAATTTCCTACGGGATGGGGTCGCTAACCCCGTGCCAAACCCATCTCCTTTATCCGGGCTTTGGACTGACAGTAGCTCCAGGGGTGCTCCAGACGTAGTTATAAAATGTGACATTTTATGAATAATGTAAGTAACATAGTGGTTTTTGGAGATTCACACACCCTACACATAATAATGAAAATGTTTCTATTCTTTTCGTTGCATTTTACTATCACCTGTCGTTCAATAAAATTTATAGCTTTAAAAATGACCTTACTGATTATTACTGTTGTCCGACATTATTGCCGCAGTTATTGTGATGTCGATGCCTGTTGATGAGACTTTAGATTATGATTAGAAATATTTAAAAATAAGTGTCTGGTCAAATTAAAATCCTTCAGAATCAATAATACACTATATTTATAGTTTATTGAATTCTTAACAAAATGTAAATATATGGTAAAGTACACCAAGACTAATAATTGTTTTTCATGTACATAAACGAAACACGTAAAATTATGAAGTTTGAGACACCATACTTATTCTCAGATGATCTCAATATATCACACAGCTTCAAGTCTGAAGCTTTGAGTGAAATTACATCACAGATTCAAAGTGACCTCAACTACCTATCTATCTGTATCAATCATTGGAGGCATCATTTAACTACAACAAGTGTGGGACCATGAAGTTGGGGAAACATCCACACGAAATACTGTATGACTCAAATAAATGTAGAGTTAAGACACTCACTTCAGTGCATGACCTAGGTATCAGTTACACAGGAAGCCTAAATTTTGAAGAACATGCCTCCTTTATTATTTCTAAATCTAGATGGCTAATGGATTTCACAATAAAGATTTTCTTTACAATGGAGGCGGAGCTTACCCTTCTCAAGATATGTATGCGATCCTCCCCTGAATTCCGTTCACTTATCTTCTCAAATATGAATACCACAGAAAAGATACGAGTAGAAGATATCGAAAGATGCTTTACATGTCGGGTATGACTCCACTGTCGACTAAAAAGGTAGATGTAAGTACCGCTCCTTAGAACACTTATGCTCCATCGGCTATGGAACAATCTAATATTTTCATACAAACTGCTGTTTGATTTCTTGTTTTTAACCTTCCGCTGAACTACGATCCATGTACAACAGTCTCAGAAACAGTGCGTATACAGTGCTAAACACAAAACACCAATGATCTGTAAGGTTGTAGTGGCATTGGACCATAACCAAACTATCCTCAAAGCTGAATACGAGATTACTCGGAAAATAGGTATTCAATATTTAACGCGAAGAAATACCTAACGATGGAGAAGGCGCGAATAATGAATTGAATAAATGTAGCACGGATTATTATCGTTTACTTGCAGGCAGGAGCGATCTGAAACACAACACAACAATCAGGACTGGCAGATGCCACTCAAGTGAGAACACGGCGTGCGAGCACAACAGAGATATATTTGAAATTGAAATTACGCGGTTTTAGTACAAAAAGAGAAGTCTATTACAAAATAGTTTTACTCATCATCCAGCAGGTTTAGTTTGCGCAAGCTTTGTTCTTCTTCTTCTAATACGTTCACTTTCTGTTGTCCTGCAATAAGGAAAACAAACTTGCATTAGTAAAGTTACACGTAATGATTTTCGATACTGTTACACTATCCCCTCTCTTCATGAGGCACTGTCCTCAGTGCCTGGTGCTGGACATGGATATGCTACCCCTCCTTCTGGTGGCACTTCATAATGGCTGACGGCAGTCGGGGGGTTGGCAAACGGGGTATCTAAGTGCACCGTTGTCTTGTCTGGCTTTAATTGATTGTAGTGTACTGTTATAACATCGTCTTGGGGTCGTTGGAGGTTACGTAAGACGAATGTAGTGGGAGACCGCGTAAACACAACTTCGTAAGGTCCTTGCCAAGGGTGATGGAACTTGCTGCATGTCCCAGGTGGGGCCAAAGGGCGGTGCAGCCACACACGATCTCCGGGTTTATACACAGGTCCGTTCGTCTTGCGATCGTACACGTCCTTTTGGTGCTTGCTGGCATTTTGTAGGTTGATCTTCACTAAGCGATAGGCGTCGGCTAGGCGGCTCCGAAGATTACGGATGTATACTACATGATCTTGAGCCTCACATGGTAACAGCGGTATTTGCAGCTCAACGGGTAGGCGCAATTCATGCCCAAAAAGTAGGGTCGCCGGTGAAAATCCTGTAGATCCATGCACTGATGAGCGGTAAGCTAGCAGGCATTGTGGTATCACGTCATCCCAACATTCCGTTGACGACTTATTGATAAACGATTGAAGTAGAGCTTTGATAGTCCTGTTGGTTCTTTCCACTAAGCCGTTACCTTCTGGGTGATATGCGGTAGTGTGTGTTTTTCGGATTCCCAATAATCGACATACCTGAGCGACGAGATGACTTTCAAAAGCTGAACCTTGGTCAGAATGAAGTGAGAGGGGAGCGCCGTACCGGGATACCCAATGATCAATGAAAGCCCGAGTGACTGTGAGTGCATCTTGTTGTGGTATAGGCACAGCTTCACACCATTTGCTGAAGTAGTCTACCATAACCAGTAAATAACGGTTTCCGTTCTTTGACGTTGTGAGTGGCCCCATAATATCGATGCCAACTCGCTGATGCGGACCTTCTGTCGTCATTGGAACTAAGGGTGCACGAGGTATTTGTCGGGGTGACTTGATAGCATAGCACGTGCTACAATTTTTGCAGAATTCTGCAACGTCTTCGTGGATGGATGGCCACCAAAACCTCCGGCAGATAGCATGTTCAGTCTTCCGTTTTCCTGAGTGCCCCAGTTCTCGGTGTACCTGCTCCATAATATTCTGAACTTGTATATGTGGTACTATCAATAGTGGTTGTTTTGATTCACTGACTATAAATAGCGTGTCTTCATACAATTTTAGACTCCCCCATTTAGCACAAAGACGGCGCGTCGCCAAGGAATGATCCTTTAACTCTGTCATAGATGGTTTATTATTGCCATGTAGTTGCCTCTGATAAATAAATCGCAGATCTGGGTCTGCTGCTTGAAGAGACGGCCAGTCGATCTCAGGGGCTGTGCTAAGGACGGCACTAATGATATCAGGAGAATAAGGTATACGAGATAGAGAATCAGCGTTTGTGTGACGGCTTCCGGGTCGGTATTCACAAGTAAAATCAAACTCCTGCAACCTCTCCTGCCAGCGCGCAACCTGACCTTCTGGTTCACGGAACGAACGAAGCCACTGTAGTGCACGGTGGTCTGTGCGTACACGAAAGGGTCGTCCTAGGAGATAGTGACGAAAATGTTGCGAAAATTTTACCAAAGCCAGCATCTCTCGGCGCGTCGTAGAATACCTTGTCTCCCTCTTATCTAACCGCCGACTAGCGTACGCAATTACCCGCTCCTGTCCATCTGGTGCTATTTGAGACAGGACTGCTCCAATAGCTGATGAACTAGCATCTGTATCAAGTATAAACTCACCCGCTTTAGCAGAAGTGTCCGGAAAAGCTAGTATGGGTGGAGCAGCAAGACACGACTTCAAAGTGCTAAATGCTTGTTGACATTCTGTGGTCCACAAAAATGTTCGTCCTTTGTGCGTCAGGCGATGTAGAGGTGCTGCCAGGGATGCGAAATCGCGTACGAAACGTCTATAATAAGAAGCGAGTCCCAGGAAGCTGCGAACATCCTCTGCAGATTTCGGTTGTGGCCAGTTAATAATGGCGCTCGTTTTTCCCTGATCTGTTGCCACTCCCTCTTCCGTAATGCGATGCCCTAAAAAGAGCACTTCTTTTTGCAATAGTCGACATTTAGATGGTTTAACTTTTAGGTTATGCTGCTTAATTCGTTGTAAGACTGCCTTCAAATTGGCATTATGCTGTTCCGGCGTTCTGCCATACACAATAATATCGTCAAGGTAAATTAAACACTGGTGTGGTACAAGACCATGTAGAACTGTCTGCATTAATCGTTGGAAAGTGGCTGGGGCATTAGTTAGCCCAAACGGCATCACTTGGAATTCATATAGACCATTGGGTACTGTGAATGCAGTCTTTTTTCTATCTTGAGGTCGGACTTCCACTTGCCAATACCCTGATGCTAAGTCTAAAGTCGAGAACCAACGAGCGCCTTCCATGGCATCTAATGTAGCGTCTATACGTGGAAGTGGGAACGAATCACGTTTAGTGATGGCGTTAAGGCGGCGGTAGTCTACACATAGTCGTAGGGAAGAGTCTTTCTTTTTCACTAAAACGATAGGCGATGCCCATGGTGATGTAGATGGTACAATGATCTTTTTCTCTAGCATATCTTTTATCATTGATTCTAATTGAGGCTGGTAATGTACCGGTACTCGACGAGGTGGTTGACGTAATGGCATATGATCACCTGTGAGGATGGAGTGCTGTACAGTGGTCGTCCGATTTCCAGAGATATTCTCAGAGAAAACGGAACTAAATTGTTGGAGTACATCAGTGGTTGCTCGACGGTCTTTTTCACTTATTATTTTATTGTCCTGTACCTGACGTACAACTTCTGAAATTCCCACCTGGGCTACGGACTTAGTTGGTATTTCATGGTGTTGTATTTGCACGACAACTCCACCAATACTCGCTTCTGACTTATTCATGTGTATAGAGACCTGGTATTTTAACATGAAGTCGACCCCGAGAATCATGTCCCAAGTCAGTGTGGGGCAAACCCAAAATTCATGTTGAAAAGGCTTCTTATCTATCGTTAGCTCTAACCCTATCTTAGAACACGCTTTCAAGGGTTCTCCGCTCGCGGTAATTAATGTAGAAGAGCATTGTTTACGCTGAGTGGTGTGGTTAAGTTTCTGTAAGAGGTCTTCCTTGATCAAAGATACTGAAGCTCCTGTATCTAATAGTATATTAATCTCGGTACTTTGTACTCTACCCCTAATAGTAACAGGGCATAAATGTTTAACATAGCAAGACGATATATGCAAACGACACTGCTTACCTCTGTCTCTCACGCGGTTATGCCCGCATTTCTTGGCATTTTTGCCGAAACGTCTGCAGTAGAAGCATTCTGTTTGCTGGTCTCGGTAGTTGTCCCTTGACGACCGTCCGTTCCATGTGGAAGTCGGCTGCCCTCGTCTATTATTCCGGTCACGGAACTCTCTAATAGCCGCGGCACTTTGAAAACTATCTTGTCGATTAGGTTCGGTGGCTTCGTCGACAGTCATCACGGTTGGTCGATAGGTCGCCACTGGAACTGACAGTCTTTCAGCAGTCAAAAATCGAAGTGCCGTTCGTTTCAAGTCGGCTGTGTCAGCCGGTGGCACTCGAAGTAGATGTTCTCGCAATGCACCTGGCAACAGTCCTTCAATAAAACGGGAGCGTGTGATTTCTTCTCGCCCTAAGATGTCCAGGCTAGGGAATGCCTGGGTTGCTATCTGTTGTAATGAGTGGAGATAGTCAATGGGGCTTTCATGAGGTTTCTGGTGGCGAGATAAAAATTGGATGGCTGTCTGCTGGGTGTCCACCTTCAAAGAAAAACATTCATCTAAAATCTTCCAATTTTGAGGTGGTGAATTGCACGCAGTAAAGCCGTTAGCTGTCGCTCGTTTGGCTGCTTCGTCATCTAGGTAAGACAGAAGATAGTCGAAGTGTTCCGATGTTGGAACTCGACGTAGGCACGTCATTACTCTGATTTTCCAGATATCATAGTCTGATGAGACTCCTAACAGTGGCGGTTGGCGAGGGGTTGTGTTGACTGTTAACTTGCCTGGGATGGTTGGGGGTTCATCATGTTTTGACATAGACACCTCCATCACCACTTGTAGCACGGATTATTATCGTTTACTTGCAGGCAGGAGCGATCTGAAACACAACACAACAATCAGGACTGGCAGATGCCACTCAAGTGAGAACACGGCGTGCGAGCACAACAGAGATATATTTGAAATTGAAATTACGCGGTTTTAGTACAAAAAGAGAAGTCTATTACAAAATAGTTTTACTCATCATCCAGCAGGTTTAGTTTGCGCAAGCTTTGTTCTTCTTCTTCTAATACGTTCACTTTCTGTTGTCCTGCAATAAGGAAAACAAACTTGCATTAGTAAAGTTACACGTAATGATTTTCGATACTGTTACATAAATTAGAGTTGATCGAACGGCATGGCTCGGCCATGCAGGCGTGGTCTCTGCTGAATGTTACCTTATATCTTCTTTTCATATTAAATATATTGTTCTTTCTCTAACCTGACCTTGTTCTACATCATGTATTGGTAATTGATACGATACAGTGAGTTGATGTAGTCGATGGTGTGACTTCCACGTAAGATCTTATAGATTAGGCAGTCATATCATGACAAATCTACAAATTTAGGATTAGGTCTATTATTAGAGCAGTACTAATATCATAGTAGACCATAAGTTCCACATTGGTGAGCCCAACTACAGAAACGCAACTTATTATTGTTAATCCTTATTTCCAACTTAACCTTCTCAATCGGTTTTTATTTTTGTAAACCCAGTATTCTAATAGTCCTTTGATTAATGGTCACATATATTATCGTAATGTTATATCTATTAGTTCACATAACTTACTAGCTCAATCGATAATAAAAGTTGATCATCTATATCAACTAATTAGCTTTGATGGTTCGTTAACAAGCTTTAATAGCATTTACCTGCTTCAGCGACATAAACTTGTTTAAACATCAAGCTCTAGCAAATATGACCTGTAAATAGCGTAAATATACATTGGCTAACAATGCAATCAAGGATTGAATAGTTATCTGGATCTAATTCTTAGTGTTTCTTCGCTTAACACCTCATCCTGTTTTAAACTATGCACTATCCTTTTCTTCCGACCACTGCCTGCCTAATTTCATATTCTCGAGTTCCATTGCCAAACAACAAGGATGACACTTCTCTAAAAACATACGGTGAGTTTCAGCCATAAGTTTCCTGCAATCATAAGGTCATTTTAGATGGCTGGTTCAATGGCTGACACAATTATCTGGATTCATTCGATTGTTCTGATCCGAGTGAGTGGCAAAAACATCAACAGCATCAAGTACCCTAGAATTAATTGCCATACTGCATGTTTTATTCTGGATACTTTTGGATCATTACTCCTCACGAATGGCGTTATATATGTCGTCCACTGAATAATCTAATTTTCAAAAATAATCCAGGCGAGTTCAACCATTTCACTTAATGATTTTTTGTACTTAACATGTATGTTTCCTAGCTGCTTTTGCCATATATTTGTAAGTATCCCTAGGCTAAATGCAGTAACTTCTTATGGAATGTTTATAACGCGTCATATTCCTGCCTGAAGTTTCACAAGCAGTCTTAACTTTAAAATTGTTTTTCTGGTCATGTTCATTATTTTTAAATTTTCATATACGTAAACAACCTGCATGTTAACCTGGCCCGTATATACGTTTTACTATATCTTCATGTCTTTTGAATTCAGAAATCATCTGAATCGCCTTAAGCATTTATCAATAAACCCATCATAGTCGTTGCTGCTAATCGTATTTGGGTTTATGGATTGGTTTATCATATTAACAGCCTAAAGTACGAACATAGTTTAGATGATAAGATTAAAAAGTTAGATACTATCAACTGCACTAGTAAAATTACTAAATCCTCAGGTAGTTGTTGGTTGAACAAACTTTTAAAATCAAAACTCCGTAGCCTACTAGAATTAAGATTAAACAAATATTTCTGAATTGAAATTTATAATTAAATTAGGCGTCTCGGATTCTTTAACGTTATAAATTTCTGATAATTTTGAATCACCTAAAACAACAATGCCTATTTTTCCACTGGCCAATCTTCAATCAACACTATAACTAATTAAACATAATAGTTTCAGGATATCTTCATAAAGCATTGTCATGACTTGACAATCACGTAATATGATTGATAAAATTAATGAAACTATTAACAAAATCGGTCAGCAAATTGACTTATAATTATCACTAGTGTTGTTTTTCTTCATTCACTACATATGATTACAGTATGTTTCTCTATCAGTTGCTCATTCAGTAAATATCTCAAAACTTTGTCAGTCTAATTGATGGTTTAGCGACACAATCATGCATGCAAATAATCAGTATAAGCAGTCGAGCAAATATCCTGCAAACTGAAAACATCAATGTCGAATTTACCCCAACACTGACTAAGGTTCAAGCTATTATCATAGGCATGAGTTGGGAGTGCACTCCCCTTGGTTACAACTTATGTTCTCCCTGATAATCACATGAGCATCACTCACTATTAATCATCTTGTAAAAAATTATTTAGCCAAATACACCTTGCAGCACCACATCACTTAGTAATATGACACATAGGTTTAACTAATTTCAATAACGTATAACCACTATATCTCAATTAAATCGTATTCCGCCTTATGATAAACTGCATACTTTCAACTAACTTGTATACCCAATCAGCCGGCAAGTATGGATATAAATAAATAGTCTGCCGCAGATCAGAACATTGAGTCTAGAGCATGTCTCTTAAGAATACACTCATGTTTAACGATTTGTTCCTAGCTATCTGTCCAAAATTCACATAATTACCACTCACGTATTTAAATTTTGTTTTGATGACCATTCATGTGTATTAGTAGTATTAATAAATTCTATCACGGTCAAGTAAAAATGAGGTTGAGAAAATCTCCCCGTAACTAAACAAACCGTATCAAACTAACTGGAACACTAGTTGGAATTCTTCTCCACGGTAATACTTTTGTTCCTTCAGTTAGCCTACTAATACAGATGCAATTGGAAATCGACTCATATGGACAACCTACCGGCATAATCGTTATTTGATTTCATAAGTTAGACTAAAAGTAGTACTAATATTAACATTTCTACAATATTCATAACTTTAATATTTCTAAACACAAAATACATACTACTTATACGTTAAGTTATCAACCAACGGCTATTACACACGCATCGTTTTATTATTACTATTATTATTATTGTAATCCCATTTTTTTTTATAGCTCAAATAATCACTCAAAATTTATTGTAAGCATGTTAAGCATGAAGGCAGATATTTTAAAATTATTACATGTATTTCCCGACCAGATGCTGCCGTCTTCTTTTTGATTTATCTTTCAGCTTGTCATCACCCGAAGGATTCTTACTAGTCTTGGTAACCTTCGGCACACTACAGTCCCATCCAATTGAGTATCAAACCAACACCAAGTTGATTCTGGTGGGAGAGTAGTGTAGTGGCATTGGACCATAACCACACTATCCTCAAAGCTGAATACGAGATTACTCGGAAAATAGGTATTCAATATTTAACGCGAAGAAATACCTAACGATGGAGAAGGCGCGAATAATGAATTGAATAAATTAGAGTTGATCGAACGGCATGGCTCGGCCATGCAGGCGTGGTCTCTGCTGAATGTTACCTTATATCTTCTTTTCATATTAAATATATTGTTCTTTCTCTAACCTGACCTTGTTCTACATCATGTATTGGTAATTGATACGATACAGTGAGTTGATGTAGTCGATGGTGTGACTTCCACGTAAGATGTTATAGATTAGGCAGTCATATCATGACAAATCTACAAATTTAGGATTAGGTCTATTATTAGAGCAGTACTAATATCATAGTAGACCATAAGTTCTACAAGGTTTCTACAATAGAGTGTAGTGTACTGTGGAACAGACTGCCAATATCTACCCGTAACTGTAGAACCATCTTCAAGTTAAAAAACCACTAACCCTTTTTTCTAGACTCTAAAGAGCTTCATCAACTATTCCAAGAACTCCTACCCAATTCGGAGCCGTATTTTCATGTACTGCCTGGTATTTAGACCTGTCACGAATATAACGGATCACAACTGTCATTCATTTATGTACAACCAGATGATATAACATGGTTTCCCTTCCCTCGTTTTTCATTATAAGCCAGGCTTCTACGCTCCAACCCCTCACACTTAGATTTGACATCTCTCTTATGTTTAAAGCATCACAATGTTTTCGCGAAGCCCCGTGTCCCTTTGTAATTTATATTAAAAGTGTACAGATGACCTACCGACGCTATGGGTGCTGTTCAAACATCTCCAACCTAAGAAACTCATAGTATACACGATTGTTGTTCGTTCTTTATAGTTCACGTCCTACCAGTTTAAAACTTCCTAATTATCATTAGAAAACTTTGTTTTCTTACTTAACGATTTTCTTATTCATCGATTTTGCCGTCCTAGCCTCCTTTTCACCCATGATCTTTGGTCAGCTATCTATCCTTACTGTCTGTAAACTACATGTCACCTGACTAGTGTTTCATAATCTATGCCCCTAGTCAACTTCGTGGCAGTATAATACACTAAATGGATGTCTAACTCACAATACAGAAGCTTTAGCCGTCTACTTTTCCTGTAACATGGGACTAGTAGAGACAGTGTGTTCCAACTAGCTGTACAACATACAGCTTAGATTATAGGGATATTCATATATACTGCAAACGTGTGAGAGCTTAACGTCATAAGAAAGAGAAGTGGTGTCACTAACCAGTAAACCTACTCAGCCTTAGATATTGACATAACCTTAAACGTTCAGCTCTTTCGACTATCCTTAATTTATAGTCCCATATCCATTGGTTACCAAAATTTTTACCTACCCTATTTCACCTGTCAAATACGCTTGCATAACAATTGACCTAATAAAAAGAAATAAGTCTGGGTGGTCACGCCCTAACATTTTCATTGCATGTGACCTAAAACGACCAGTCAATAACACTGTCCATTCTGCTTCCTTCCCTTCTCTTTCTTTCTTTTCAGGAGGATTTTTAGTTGTGCTTGCCAAAAGCCTGTTAATTTTGTTATCTGAGGGCATCACCAGGAAGCAAGGAATGATACGTCAACAACGCATGCATTTGTTATGTTACTTCCTTATATGAACAGTTAATGACTGAACTTAAATCATTTATCGGCC